GACTTCCGAGGTTCGAACTCGGGACCTCCTGCACCCAAAGCAGAAATCATACCACTAGACTAAAGTCCCTTGTGAACGTGAGCTTTTTTTAGAAAATATATACGTTACTTAACATATTTTAGATGTGGTTATTGCAGTACTACCTCTCCCAGCACATTGAAATCTGTTACCGAGTGCGGTTCCCAGGTCAAAAATTGGTTTGCTGTGCATCTGGCAGCACAGATATTGGACTATTCTGTAATCCGCACTGGAAAGATCGCGTTTTTGCAGGCCAATCCTCCTTCTTCCCGGCGTGGTAATCGCAAATTGCATTGTCGGGATGAGACTATACTGGCCCGCTTTCTACGGTCTCCCTGCCCAGCGGATCCTTTGTGCAACAATTCCACGTATTCGTCGTGGTCACGCTGATTGACGCGCGAATTATCTCTCCGGACTGACCGGCCAAGTTGCTCACTTGGCAGCTCGCCATGCTGGACCTTCAAGTCGGAGCATGAGTTCCACTATTTCTGGGTACAATCCAGGCTTTCGTCATTCACCACATCACGGGCTACTCCCCTCGAGTCCAAGAGCGACCCGAGGTGGACGCGGGTCGACGGCGACGGCAACGGCGACGATATTTTCCCTCAAGCACTGTCCTAAGGCGGTGTTGCCGCCAGGAAAGAGAGGCTATTATAGAAGTATATATTAATCATATACAGCAATAAAATTCCACTTCGGCATGGGGAAATAGTTCAGTGGTAGAACGTTCGCTTTGCATGCGAAAGGCCCCGGGTTCAAACCCCGGTTTCTCCATATTTTCTACCATTTTAGCCCACTGCCACTCTCGTCTGTGTGTTGATGAGCCGGTGTTCTTTTGTTTTGGGTGACACAATTCTAAAGGTCTATTCAGAGTTCAGCCTCTCGTGAAGTGTTATTTTGGGTTCGTCCCCTGTGACTTCCGGTTGCTTGTCCACCAGTAACAATAGTCGACTATTTGACCCGCACTCCTTACTTTTCAGTCTCTGTTGAATGTTATCAGAACTTTCGAAAGTAATTAACCTGCAATAATGTTGCTTTTATTGGGAGTCGATCATCCAGGTGAACGGATCCTCCGTAGGATCGACGGATCGCACATATTCCATCACATCCGCCGTTGATTTCGCAACGCTCTCCCCATACACACAGGCAATCCACGCCAAGCAGCAGTCGATCCCGGCGCTGACTCCAGAGGCAGTCCACACCTTGCCATCCTCCACCCACCGCGCACTCCGCACCCACTCCACGTTCGGCCCCAGCGCAGTCACGGCGCTCCAGCAGCTCTTGTTTGTCGTCGCGCGCCGACCGTCGAGAACCCCGGCGAGGGCAGCAAGCCGCGCACCCGTGCAGACCGTCATGAGGTACCGCAGGCGCGGGAACCGCTCGCGCAGGAACGGCACGACCGTCGCGACCGTCCGCGCGCTGCGCGTGCCCGTGCCGCCCGGCACGATCAGCATCTCCAAGTCCTCCGGCGCCGTCGCGAACGTGTGCGTTGGCACGACTGCCTGACCGAATCCGCCGAGCCCGCCTGCAGCCTTGTCGTCGTCCAGCACTTGCCCGTCCGCGTCCACCGCCACGTACGTCGGCACCGCGTCCAGCGTGCGCGCTATCACGCTCAGCATCATGGCCGCGCCCGCCGGCGCCTCCGACAGCACGTTGAGCGCGTCCATGGGGCCGAAGGCGTCGAGTGCCTGGAAGCCCGGGAACACGACGAGCCCGATGCGCGTGACGGGCGCGGGTGCGGGTGCGGGCAAGGAGGCCATTGGGTGCGGCTGGTGCGTGGATAGCAGGGTCCAGATGGGGGGCGCTTTTTATAGGGGACTATTTCTGGTGACTGTGCTTCACTTGGGCGACACATTCACACTCTCTCGCCCTTACTCTTTCGCGCTCACTCTCTAACTCGCGGACATCAGCAATCAGATCAGCGTTATTCGATTACGTGTCTGGGTTACTCAAGGGATTCCGCAGTGATGTGGCAGATTTGTTCAAATATTTGTGTGTTAATTAAAGTGATGGATGCGAGCACACGTAAAAGAAGAGAGCTTAGGAATCTGGTAGCAATGCAAAGGAGTAAGATGCGTCGATGATATTTCCCATCAATGGATAAAACTTTTGAGTGATGTCATGGGGTACGAGAGTAACTGGGAAAACATCGATGCCCAAATGAAAAGGTGCGGCTCGTGAAGATCCTTGGCCCATTGATTGTCGGTTTGCTGCGAAGCCACCCGCCTGCTTGCCGCTCCTTCTCCGGTTCCTTCCCCTTCACAATCCCTCCCGTCTTTTTTGTTGCCTCTGACTCTTCACTTGCCTGCCTGTCAATCTCGTCCCTCCTCTCCCTCCCTCTCTATCCCCTGAAATACACTCGCCGGAGATCTACAAAGCCTCAGGCGTGTTGGCACAGGCAAGTGTTAACGCATCAGTCTGGTCCCTTTCAGGGTTGCTCTCATATGAGTTCCCACCACATTCATTGACAGTACCCAGGATGTTTACGAGGTTCGTGAATGAAGCTTCGCAAGTTGTTAAGAGATATTCTTCGCATTTAAACCTCTCACACACTGAGGCTACAGACTTGCCAAGACGGGCAGGGCAAGATTAGTGAGGTAGCAATCGGCAAAATTCCATACACAACCAACGCCTTGCCTCTTCATGTTCGGTGCCAGTAGGGTGTTGGCAGTTTGGGGCGTGGGGAGGGAGG